ACATGCAACTCCAGCTCATCTCGATTTATTTCCCTCCACCAACCCTGCTGCCCCTCCTTTGACCACAACTTTAGTAAAATGAAGAACTGGAAAGAATTTGTAGACATATACAGGCAATAACATGGCTAATTCCAGTTGTCAAGAAGATATTGTTCTGTATTTCTAAAGAAAGGACCAAACATGAAAATCAATGGTGTGGAAAACTCGAGCATTTTAATGTTATTCATACAGATCTCGCTTGTTGCTGTGAGACTTTAGGCACAGATTAAATAACTATGCAAATCACCGAGCAAAGTGCCTGTGGTGGAGCAAATACTCAGTAATCATTATTCCCTTCCCTTGAATAACTGCTGACAAATTTCTAAATAGGGTTCAGAAACAAATGAACCAGAGGTAATATATATGTTAATTATCTTGATTGTGATAATCATTTCTCATTGTATAGATATACCAAATCATCATGTTGTTCTCCTTACATATATGCCATTTTATTTTTCAATTATACCTCTGTAAAGCTGGGAGAAAATTAAAATGAAAACAAAACAGAGAACAAAGGGGGAAAAATAGATTTAACAGAAAATCAAAATGCCATAATGATACAGAATGTTAAATTTCATTATGGAATCTATTTTCTGCCTGCCATATATATACTGCTGCTTCTTAGCTTCTGGGTGTATCTTTAACTCAGCAACAGCTGAAAAGAGAATAATGGGGGGAGAAACATCCACGTTTCTACCTATTACCTAACTAATAAGGAAAACTCAGCTCTCTGCTACTTGCTAGACATATGATCTTAAACAAATCACTTAGTTTATTTGGGCCTCAATTTCTCTATCTGAAAAATGAGGAGACTGCCCTAGATCAGTGGTTCCCTAGTGTAACTCATGGACTCCCAGCAAAGAGGAGTTTATTTTTCCTTGGTGAAACGAACAATGTAGAGTAACTTAACATGAAGTTAAGTTACTAAATTAAAAGATTACCATCAATCCTGAGATTAAACCCTTCTTACCTATACAGTGTTAAAATATCCCTTCTTTTATGAAGCAGTGGTGACATGATCATAGGGGCAGTTTCAATGTCCTTATTAAGTAAAACATTGCCAACCTAAGCTGACCCCCAAACTTGGGGGGTCTATGAAACCACTGAAATTCACTGAAAGAGTGGATATGACAGAAAGATAGTGGAATCTGCAGACAACTGACCAGCCTCTGATAATTCAATCCAGCCTTTGTTAACTACGGACTATGTGAACTTGTGTGCTTTATCTAATTATTCTAAACCCACGATGTGATTACACTCTGTGCTTGAAAAGTTATTGATCATGAAAACCAAAGATCTGAAAACTCCTTTCCTTGCTGATCTCTAAAAGTCCTTCCAGCTCTGCTTTCTAGACAAATGCATGGACATTGGCCTTCGTTACACTGTAACACTAACAGAACCTCCAATCATACATGATGTCACCATGGAAAAAAGCACTTGAATGATCAAATTAACCATGACAAGCTGAAAACAGTAGAGATTCTATACACTCCAGGACTAACATACAAAGGAGGGGGAAAGACTGGCTATGCATAAGCATCACATAGACAGATATTAAAATTCCAACACAATGCCTTCTGTGTATGCTTACGACATAAATATTATATACTAATATACACATGAAAGAGTTATTTCATCACCTCTAAAAACATAGATTGCTAGTTGTGAGTTTTAAAATTCCAAATTTTCTCCTTGGGTTTCACCCTCTTATTTGTGTGAACTTAGTGAATTTTTTTCCAAGGCGGGAGAAAACAAAGGATATTGGAAAAATGAGAACTGAATAACCACATGGGGTCCCCAGGTTCACTCTGGTCTTTCACATCGCCTCCCTACAGAGCTTGCAAAGTGTAAAACACAAGGGAGAAAAACAGCGCAATCTCACAATGGAGTATTACTCAGCTATACAGAAGAATGAAATTGTTCCATTTGCAACGATATGGATGGACCTAGAACATTATGCTAAGTGAAATAAGTCAGTCAGAGAAAGACACATACCATGTGGTCTCACTTATATATAGAATCTAAAGAACTGAATAGATGAGAAATGTAAACAGAAATAGTCTCAGAGACACAGAGGAAAAACTGAGGGTTGCTAGTTGGGAGGGGGTGGGGATGAAGGAGAAGGGGAAGGGAAGAGACAATATAATCTGCTAACTACAACATGGCCTCAGGGATAGAAAAGACAGTCTGGGGAATATAATCAATAATGTTGTAAATATTTCTTAGGGGGCCAGATGGACTCATGTCTTGTTAGGGAGACCACTTCATAGACAGTGTAGAGGCCTGGCCACCACACTGTATTTCTGAAGCTGATGTTGAATAATATTGTATGTCAACTACAATTATATATACATATAGTCATGGGACGTGGAGTAGAGTGTGGGAATGGATTCAATGGAATTGTAATAGAGAAGTATGATATCGGGGGTGGGAGGGCAGTGGATGGGGGAGGGGGGCTTGTTACTTTGTGAGGGGTAAAAAGGAAAACTAGTGCATTGTTTTGTACACCTGAAACTAATAACAATAAAAAAGAAATAAAATTTTAAAAAGCGTATTCTCATGCTCCTCTATAGCGTTCTTCCTCAGCTCTGACACACAAAGCTGCTGGATCCAAATATAGGTCACAGGCACCACCTAGAGGCATTCATCGTAAGTCTGATTCTCATTTCAATGAACTCTGACATGGGTCAGTTCAAAATCCAGTTGAGTTCTCCCTCTAGTCACAGACTTGGAAATTAATCACGTAAAGTGCTCCCATCACTAAACACTGCTGGGGGAGGGAATAAGACCAAACGAAGAGATGTGCAAGTACACACTTCCTGTGCAATCGTTAGACTTATCTGTCTCACCACCTCATTCGTTAACACCTTTGTGGTTTCATTTGATGCCTATCCCATAAGAAAGATGTATGACACAAAAGCCACGACTCTCTCTACCTTTGGAGTATCAGGAGATCATGAAATGGAACCACAGTATTCCACATAAGCCTTAATTCTGGAAATAACATGCCCTTTTAACAATGGAAACATGTCTGCAATACATGGTATTAGCTCCCGCCAGTTACTGTTGCTATTGGTCAGGGACAAAGAGTGCATTTCCAGAAAGTTTAGTCTTCGCCTGTAGGCTTTATCTCATCAGCAATAACAAAATATTTGGATGATGTTTTAAATTAATAATCTGTACATCTCACCTATGTAACATTAACTGAGATCCATAAACAGGGTCCCCGAAATGCAAAGGCCTATTTGTACCCAAGGTATCACAAATCACCAGGCACAGTTAAGGGAAAATTGAAAATACTGAGGAGCTATGAGCTTCCTGTGTATAACTGAGTTCACAACTCAGGACTATGTTTGACAAATACCTTGGACTTCCAGGACATCAACAAACAAGTTTAGAAGGCAGCTCAGCTTGGCAGAAATTATGTCGCTTAGGGACACTGGAGTCCCAGGTTCTAGTCCCATCTTTATCACTATCTAGCTGTGGGATCTAAAGCTACTCATTTAACATCAGTTTTCTTGTCTATAAAATAAATATACCATTTATTATGAATAATAAAGCTCTATAAGCATAAAAAATTTTCATTATAAAGTCCAAGGTGTATCCCTACCCTTTATTAGCATTGATACTTTCTCAAACCACTAGTGGGCAGTGTTGGGCTATTTGCCTAAGACACAACGGGCAGGGTAGGCAGTGCATTTGCTCTGGCGCTGAAGAATAACCTGGTAATATTTTTTTCAGAATTGTCTGCAGCCCACCTATCCATTGCTGTAATCGCTATCTCGTTTTTGCTAAAATATTCACCCACCAAGTAGATCTACAAAAATTTAAAGAATAAAAAGCTTAACATTAGTTTTCATTATAAATTGATCATTAGACCCCACTCTAAGAAATACCAGTTTTACCTCAATCATTAATCACTTCAGTTATATCAATTCACTAAAACTACAATTGTCCAAAAAACAATTAAGATCTTACTTAATAATCCAGAACAATTATATAGGTTCTTGCTTTATCCAAATACTAGATGTGTTTCTGAAAAAATGTGTATAACAACACTTTTTATGATGACAAAAGTCATGTTTCCCTGAAGAAATTTTTAACTTCAGAAAACTCACAAAAAAAAATTATAGAAATCCCCCAACTAGTAACATTTTGAAAACATCGTTGTTTATATTTTGTGGTTTATTTACCCTTTGTGTGAGCATGTAACTTTGCTTTTAAATAATCTCTGCACATATTGTTCTGTAACCTGCTTCCCCCCTACTAATTATGCCATGAATATTTCCATGCCATTAATTGCCTTCTCCGTCATCCTTGTTAATTATCTGCCCGGCATTGCATTATTGAGAAAGGAAAAAAATGTGTCAGGCCCTGTGCTGAGAGCTTTCCGTGCTTTAGTTCATTTACTCCTTACAAGAACCTGGTGAGTTAGGGGCTGTTTTAATCCCCAATTGATAAAGGAGGACTGAGGCTTAAAGACGTTAACTATCATGCCCAAGGGTGCATAATACAGAGTAATAAGTCATTCCGTCTACATTTGAACTCAAGTCTCTAACTTCAGCTAGATATTGCTGAACCTTAAAATGAGGAGGGCAGGGAAGGAAGCTGGTCGCTGGGGGAGTGTTTATATGGGAATTTATACGGGAATAGTGGACAGGGATGCACGGATCCAAGACATTTACTTTGATTCTTTGACAGTAACTTAAACCAAAGCATCTGCTATAGGTGGAATGCATGTGTTCCCCCCGCCCCCAATTTACATGTTGAAACCTAATCCCCAGTATTATGTTATTTGAAGGTGGGGCCCTTGGTAGGTGATTAGGTCAAAAGTGTGGTGCCTTTGTGAATGGGATTAGTGCCCTTAATAAGACAGAGTCCCGAAAGCTCCCACACTCCTTCCGCCATGTGAGGACATGGCAAGAGGACAGTCGTTTATGACCCAGGAAGGAGGCCCTTACCAGACACTGCATCTTCTGGTGCGTCCTCTGATCCTGGACTTCCCAGCCTCCAAAACTGTGGGAAATAAATTCCTGTTGTTCATAAACCACCCAGCCTATGCGTTCTGTTGCAGCAGCCCAAATGGACTAAGACAGCATCTGAGTTGGGGAAAGTTAAGATTGGAAAATTGTCACCACCAGGCTTCTTCAGAAACCCAGAAATCTACTTAAAACATTCTGTCTGAAACAACAAAGATGTCTGAACTTTGAAACGACTGTAATTGTTGCCTAGTTTTTTAACCCTTGGGTTGTGCTCAGACGTAAAAAGTGTGTACAGAGATTTAACAATAAGAATATTCACTTCAGTATTGTAAAATTAGAAACAACCCTAAGTTTCCAAAAAGGCGACTGACTCATTTTTTTTTTCTGGAGTTACAACTTCATCAGTGAAATGTGTTGTGTGCTGAGCAGAGTGTGAAGCACTGTGACATAAAGGCTCTGTCACAACTAGTCAACTCCGCAGTTGAAGCATGAAAGTCACAGACAATATGTAAACAAATAAACATGGCTGTGTTTCAATGAGACCTTATTTATGGACACTAAAATGTAATTTTCATATAATTTTTGTGTCACAAAATATTACTATTATTTCTTTTTCAATTATTTATAGATGTAGAAACTATTCTTAGCTTCCAGGCTGTACAAAAAAAAGGTGACGAACTAGATTTGGTCCACGAGTCATAATTTGAGGACTACTGATTCAAACTATCATATGCACATTATACCACATGGCATAGGTGGAACTACAGTCAATTCTCTTTATTCATGGTAGCTCTGTTCTATTAAGCCACAGAAAACATTGAATTAGTGACTGCTGACCCATTGCTCCTAGGGAAAATAGAGAGGTTCCTGCAAGCCTGTTCACAACAATTTGTCAACCAATCAAAGCATAAACCTTGTCCTGTTTAAAACATCTTATTTAAAATATATAGTTGATTCATGAACATGGAACTCAGTAATACTCTAATGCCTGAATGAAGATAATCTAACACACAGATTTTCTCTGTGAGGACATCATATTCTTCTTACACGTAGTTGCTCATAGGCCGTTTTAAACAGAGAAATCAACAACAAAAAAAGGATAAAAGTTATAAAAGTGAGAAAAACATGGTACTAAACAGACCACAAGCAGAGCACTTGTTTACAGTATGAGAGCTGAAAACAAAAAAGCAGAGTGTCACCTTGGGGATGTGCACACTGGGCAATTCATAGTTTTTGCTTCTCTATGAGCATTTATGCACAATGTGTACCAATAACAGCCACAGCAACATGAGCATTTTACAAGCAAATTTTAGTGAGTAGGTGAATTCACAAATATGAACCTGCGATTAATGAGTACCGGCTGTAGTTTGAAGTAAAATAATACATAATCACATAGATAGATGAGAGTGAAGATTGATGGAGATGATATTTCATTTCAAAATCTGTACTAGGATATGACAAATTTTAAGTGGGAACTTCAGTTTTTTATTTGGACCCCAAAATAAAACATTTGTATTTGGAAACTCAAATAAGCATAACTGAGGCTTTTATAATAAACGTCACAAGAGTTTCTTACCCGCAGCAACACATGGGATCAATTTGAAATAGCATAGAATATGAAGCTGTTAATCCTCTCAAAGATACAGAATTTATATGTTTAATATTCCTTACCCTCAGAAGCATCCATCATGCACAGAAGATCCAGGAAGCTTGAGGTTATAATTAGAAGAAGTTCCTCAAATTATTAATTGTACTAGTTGGAACATGCAGAAATGCAGCTGCAATGAAAAGAATATAGTTAGGTATATTTCGTATTTTATTTTTAAGTTTCTCTGGAGAGCTGCAATGTAGCCAGAAGACAAAAATCAATGCTAACTGAAATACAATGCTGCATTTCCCAACTAAGGCAGAGCAAATGTAATTGCTTTATCAGGGATACAAAGAGAGAGGAGCAAGCCTGTGAAATTTTCTCAAAATGGAAAAGACAGAAATTGGGCACTTTTCCGAGAAGACTCTTTTTTCATGAAATTCTTTGGCCTCTGGAGTCTAGCAGAGACCTTCATCAATAGAAAATTCTTTTTATTACTGTTGCCTTAGATAAACTCTATAGGAGTGACTGCTTTCTTGGAGCTTACTTTTATTTTTATTTCAGGTCTTTCCATAAATGCTTTTGTCCCCAAACACCCAGGAGTTCTCATTTTATCAAACAAAATCAGTAGTACAGGACTAGGCAATTAAACGCAAGGTGACCTTGCAAAACTTACCTTAGAACTGGGCAGTCAAGAAGGCGTCAAGTGGTAGAACATAAGAGAACAGGGTTCTCTCTGTTACCTGTTCCTTTGGGACTGTGTGTCCATATCTCCCTCATGTTCAAGTTACAACAAAGCAAAAAGTTACTGTTCTAAGAACTAACAAGGCCTCTGTATGGAAATGCTTTCTTGGTTTAATCTGGTGATTCTTGGGAATTTTGCTGTCATTCCTCAGCTGGTAATTTTTTTTTTCTTTTGTTGTGGTATCCGCCAGGCCTCGTGGTTCCTATGAATGGCAATCAACCAGGACCAAATGCTTTTACATCTGTAATAGTTCTTAACTGAGATTGTGGAAGGTCTAACATGAAACAGATATAAAAGCTAGGCTTCTGAGTGTGGGGGTGGAGAATGGGGTGGGGGCAGGGAGGAAACGAACCTTTTAAGTGGAACTGATTTCTTTCTCAGGGGCAATCCCTAAAGCTATCTTAAAAGAAACATTTGAAAAAGACTTACCGCTGATCCTTGAACAGGCAGGGATTGGGGAAAGCCTCCTATCTACTCGAAGGTCAGGTATAATTTAAATCAGCCCTCCACCCTACAAGGATTCGCATTAGCAGATTCCCAACCGCAGAAATAGTTTTCAGTTGGGGATGGTTGAATCTGCAGATGGGAAACCTAGGGATACATTGAGCTGACTGTATATTTATCGGAAAAAATCCGCTTGTTAGTGGACCAGCACAGTTCAAACCCCTGGTGTTCAAGGTGAACTGCATCTTATAATATCTCCAACAAATATACTCAATAATATCTTCCTCTTGGTGGCATGTGATAGCGTAGGTCGAAGGGTAGCAATGAGCGGCAGGAGGCGGGCACTAGTTCCCGTGAGGGGGCCCCTGGCAGCTGCTCCTACTTGGGGCACAAAGGCCTTGCTTGCTCAGTAAGATGTTGAGAACAAGATATGTCGTTAGAAGAAGGAGAAATGCTGGAGAAGGAAAGGAAACCATCCCGCTTATCAGAATATATATCCTGCTTCTCAGGACCATTTTTTAATGAGCTTCTCAAAATAAATCATGGCATATTAACAGGTTCATGCTTACACCTGAGAAACAACCTTGAGAACCAGAGGGGAAAATGGGACACCTCATCAGAGAGAGAGAAAGACAACAGGGAGGAGGGGGAGACAATTCTACCCATAGAGACAAAAGCCCTCACAGTGTAAGGCGAGGCTGCTTCCCTCTTTTGGGTCAGTGGGCTTCATGTCTCAGAGTGTACGAGCTATTACTAATAAACTTTTTGCTGTCCTATTTTGCACAAACCCTGTCTCTTGACTGAATTCTTTCCTTCAAGAAGACAAGAGCAGAGGTACAACGTCATTCCCAGTAACCTAAGCAGCATAAAGAAATAAATGTATTACAGCATCCACAGAAAATAAACTTCCTTACATATTTTACCTGACAATAAGAATACCAAAATAACAATGCAATATTAACAAGAGCAATACAATTACTGACTAAAGTTTACGTTTTTCTAATAATTCCATTTGCTTTTAGACCACATTCCACTAATGATTTGCAGTTGAGTTAATTTGAGTCACCCAATTGCTCCCTCCCTGTAGCTCTGTGCAGTCCTTATCTGATGAAGTTTGGTTCAATTGTTTCAGTTTACTTCGTTTGTTGGTGCTCTAGCAGCTGACAAATGGGTTTGAGAAGCTTGTGGCTTTCAGCTTCCAGTAGAAGGGTCTGCTGTCCTCTCAGGTGATGGAAATAAACAGCTGTCTCCAGAATTGTCCACAACAGTATTATTTCACAATCATCTGACCTGCCTACATTCTCTAATGACTGAATTATAAGCACAAGATTCATGTGCACGCTCTCTGACTGAATAAGCTAATTCTTCACCTATTATTTCTAGTAACACTAAAACTAATGTACTTTCATATATTCAGTATTTTTAAAATTTGCTAAATGTTATCCTGATCTCTTAAACTTTTAAATTTTATTTTGCTCCTTTTTCCAAGATATGAAATCATAAATTTTGTAATATGTAAGATCTCCCTACCAATTTGCTGTTATGTATTGTCATGCCAAGGTTTACAGGGCTAAAGAATTCTCTCAATTAGCATTGGCTTGACCCCAGTCCATTTGTCACTTTCTTAAACGGCTATCAAGGAGACATCTGGTAACTTTATATTTCATACAACTAGTAAAGAATACATGTAAATTCAAGATCTTTAGGTTTTGCTTGAAATGTTCATGAATGAAAATTTATGTAGATAGGTAGATAGAGACATAGACACAGATATATAGAGATGAATACACAAATTCTTATTTTACTTATTTAAACACAGAAGTCCAAAATTTCAGAAACTTTTGGATACATGTATCTGATTTTCATGCTATTGAAACTCAAACATATAGAAATTCAAATATATATACTAGAAAATGTTATTATAACTTTAAACTATACCCATAAAATTCAAATAGAACATTTTCTATAGATTCAGATAATTTCCAGATTACCTGTGTTCTGGTAGAATCAGCCCATAAGATGCACAAGTGTCTATAATGATAGCCCATTGTAACTGCAATCTCATGTTTTATATCACATTTTCATAAAGCTTTAAGTATTTAGCTTTAATATAGACATCTAAATTCTTACACGATTCCAAAGTCATGCCTGAAATTTCAAATTCTGCAGTCTGCGGTAACTTCACTTATCACCCAGAGGGAAAAAAAAATACATTATTTTTCTGGAGTCTCAATTCCCACTGTTTTCAGGTCTTAATCTGACACTAAAGCATTTTTAAAAAGTGATTCTTAAAAAGACGAGGTGATTCTTGGGATCCTCAGAGGAAGAAACTATGAAGGCATATGGGTGGTTTAAGTATAGGTACAAAAGAGAAACTACTGAGGTTTGTGTCACGTCCTGCGTGGCAAGGGCAAATGGGACACGAGAGGGGCGGCGCAGATTGAATAAGAACAAGAGACAGAAGTAAGATTTAAGAGCGAGACTAAGGGACTCAGCCTTCAGAGATAGACTGAGCCACCGAATCGGGTCAACGCAT